GAGTGATTATGATAAGCTGTTATTGCTGTTTTCAATGAAGTGAACTGAGTCCGAAGTCGCTGACATTGTGACATCATTTAGACGACCACAACGTCAATCATGCCTTACCTGAGGTGAAATGAATAAAATGAGCAGTTGTTGGACGAAGTTTGGCAGATGGAAAAATTGCAGGCATTCCGTTAAATTGACAGTCTGTCCAGGTCAGCGGGGCGGTGAGGCTATGTCTCGGGTCAATAGGTTGTTGCAGACCTGGCCGGCTGGCAGATAAGGAGAGAGATGGTAGGAGAAATAGGCATCAGAGCGCAGACTGTAATAGCTGTCTGCTCTGGCCTGATGAGGTGGCTGGGGAATAGAGCCCAAGGATGCCTGAGTGTGTGTGTGTGTGTGTGTGCTTTGACTGATGGGGTGGCGAGGAATAAGACGGCAAAGGAGGAAGGAGAGCTGTACGTGCGTCCACTTAGTACATGTGTGTCTGCATGGGCGTGCCATGTAGTGCATGTGTGAATGGCAGGGGTCTGATGAGGTGGCCGTGGTGAAAGGTGATAGGGCCGGGCTGTGTAAATGATGGCTGATGTCTCTTGAAAGTCTATTTAGCCAGAGTAATGAAGTGCGTCTGCCAGGGGAAGAATATGAGGGACAGGCTCGGAGGCTCAGACAGACAGCTAGGTCACCTCACTCAAACTTGTATGAAGAGAAGAGGAGAGATAGACGAGATGATTCGGTTGTAATGACTCCTATTCTGTTCGTCTGCCAAGGAGGCACCTTGGAGGACAAACAGATCAGGTCAACTCACAGCCATTGATAGAATGTCAGTCTGCACCTGCAGGTCGCCTGGCTTGCCCTGCGAAGTCAACACGTCTGCCTATACTTTCTCTCTTTAGTAGCACTAGAGCTGGGTATCTAACCTCAACATCTTTAATATTTCAAGTGCTGAGATTCAAGCTGGATCATTCAACCATGTCACATGGTCCACGGCTGCATCTCACTCCAAATAACGCTGGTCAGTGAACCTTGAGCTTCCAACATTTTATAATCAAAGATTGTCAAGAACTGTGCCCTTGGCATCGTAAACAGTGAAATATCTGAAGTTGACATTGAATGCTTCGGCAGATTTTTTTAATTGCTTGCTGATTATTTCAGCGGATATTTACTCTGCTTTGGTACAAATGTGCAGGTTTTGGCACCCATATAAAAGCTGTTTTACCTCGTCCTAGGGAACCACTACATTACAGCTCATGAGGGAGCAAGGTGATGAGAGCCTTGGTACCATTATGTTAATATTGTGGAAATTACACATTTCTTGATAACAATGAGAACATTTTGAAAATGATGTTTAATTATGTAGGACTTAACAGTCATGCCCACTTCACACAGCGATGGGCCACATTTCTGTGAGAAAGAAGGCAGGGCTTTCTCCCTCCTGCTCTCTTTTCTTCCCACATTTACAAATGTCAATATCCCGATGTACAAATGAGCGCAACACAATGAATCCCTTCTGAAAGTGCCCCCATTATCCCCATTTAAACAGTAATTGCATCCTGCTCCTCTTCAACAGGCAGGCTTTTCACGCTGGTTTCAAGTGTGGTGGTTCAAAACGACCATCAACACTTCTCAATTAGGTTAATCATAGGGCGAGAACATGAGTGTTATATGAGGGAAAGGTAAGGACCGAACAGCGGAGAATCAAACTACCAACAACATGGAAATAGTAGGGTAGCACTCAGATTACCTTCTCACATTAAGCAAGTTATGTCAGTGTAATTCTGTCAATAATAATAATAAATACAATGGTGCAACATCTTATTAGAGTCATAACTGGCTGGGACATTGACATGGCAAATAATTTAATGAAAAAGGGAATAATCAAGAATTCCACAGTATTACCCTGTTGTTACCAATCTATTACCCCTCATTACCTGTTAATACCAAGCTATTACCCCTCATTACCTGTTATTACCAAGCTCAATCAAGCTGACCTCTTTCTTTTTCTTTCTCTTTTTTTCATCCCCCATTTCCTGGTCCGATAAATGACTGCATTGTTTATGAGATTTTAATCAGAACCCAGAAGGTCGTTCATTCACGAAGGCAACCACCAGATAAGTCACATGCGCTGGTCACATGCATCTCTGCTTGTAAAAGAAGGCCATCTTGCAACAGGCACAAACAGATCTTCTCTGTTTCTAGGCTGTCAAGTGAGGGACTGCCTCCCTCATGACCCCAGACGTTTGCAGCAGTCTGCCTCCAGACTGCAGAATTCTTCTTCTTCTTCTTCTTCGTGTGTCTATGAACTTGTGCCAGGCCATGTAAAGATCACACTCGAGTGCAGGGGTGGGATTGGGATGTAGGGGGATGGTGATCAGGGATTAATGAAGGAAACGGACAGAAGGCTAGAGTGACAGGCGTCAGATACGTTTTTTGGTGAGCTATTGAGGTCAGGGAATGAGGAAAGTAGAGCACAACTATGGTGGTTACATCTTGGAAATCCATGGGATTCTTTTGGGATAGCTGAATGTTTTTTTCATGAAAATCCATGAGCTAAAAACAACAGTGAAATCAGCGGATATGCTCCGTGAGGACTTTAAGCAATGAGCAGGTTCTTGCTTTGATTAGACAAACGGTTCACAGCTTTTGGCCGTGAATGTTTGCACAGCACGTCTCCTCTGACTGTTACAAAGGAGCCGCTCTAATCCAAGTTTACAACATTATTTTTAGCCGTGCTGGCGGCATGGCTCTAGGGATGACAATGTCGCTCCTTTTGGTCAATTAGTTGGTTCATCGCTTTGATCCCCTGACTTGTCCTCTGTTCCACCAGCAGGTTGACATTTCATGGCTTCAAGTGAAATGTCTCAACAGCTATTGGATGGATTGCTATGTTGAATCTATTCAATTGGTGAATACATTCATGTCCACCTCAAGATGAATTGTTATTGCTTTGTTGACTTTTCAACTAACGAAAAATCAGGTAAAAGTTTTGAATTCAGCCAATCCTTAGTGTTATAACCGGATACCTGCAAAGCTAATGTCCTCCCCTTCAGCTGCACTTTGTGTTTAGTGCTTCTTAGAAAATATTAGCATGCTAATGTGCTAAACTGAGCTGATGAAGCAGTAAACAAGTACACCTGCCGAAGCATTGTACTTGTGAGCGTGTTGTGATGCTTACGTTAGCATGTGGCTCTAAGAGCTACGTACAGCATACGTACAGCCTCACAGATGTGCAAGCATAGCTGTAGGCTTAGTCTTGTTTTCTGATCAGTTACATTTATTCTCAAGTGAACGCAACAAAACACACATTAGAAAACTTCAATGACACTGTTTATTTATCACCACTTGACCTGTGTGTGTGTGTGTGTGTGTGTGTGTGTGTGTGCAGTACTGTGCCCCTCACCATGTATTGTCTGTTTGTGTCCATATGTATCTGTGTATGCCTCTTCTGTATGATTGTAAAACCTTTGATATCTAGCTCGATTGTGATAGTCCCCCTTCCTGTACACGGACACATATTCTGCTAGTAAAAATACACAACAGGCCAAAACAACTCAACTGGTGTCTTCGCTACACACAATAAGGCCCAGCGTCTGTTAACCATGAAAAGAAACAATCAAATAAGAACATCAACTTAATCCTCGGTGGGAGTGAACGTGTTTGCTGTCTCGGCTGAAATACTCCTCGTTGTAATCGATACGTCTTGATTTTGTAGCACTTGGTATTATTCGATTGAACGACATTATGAGGTGTAGAAACTAACCAATGGTTACAGTTTTTTGAAAAAAAGTATATTGTATATATATATTTATATATATAGTTATATATAGATTTATGTTCATTATAAGCTTTTTAAAATAGCACAGTAAACACTTTGCACACATGATAAAAACCACTGAGTGTGTCTGATTGTTTATGTATAGGCCAATGGCATCAAGGAAACCGCATCCTGATTAAGGCTCATTTCACTTCATCCGCAGTCAGCTCAGGAAGGAACGTGAGAACTTTGAGTCACTAGTTTAGAAGTGAGAACATTCATTTGTGATATTTTATTGATAATCTAAACATTAAGATTGTTTCATCTGCCCTTTTTCTACGCAGTGTATTGGTTAACATCTCCTTCCTGAAGTGGCTAAGCTTGAAAGAGGACTGAACCCGGCTCTGGACAGCATGTTCCCGTCTGTAACGGCAGGCTGGAATACTTTAGAGTCTGCACACTTTAACCACACAGAAATAACAACAGAAACGTAAAAGAGAAGTTATATAAAGACAGTCAAGTCAAAAAACCGGAGATACAGAATTTATAATACTGCACATCATCTCTGCTCATCCCATTTCCTTCATTTTTTTGTCATTTTAAACCTGTACAACACCTGCTCTCTCTTTCTCTTCCTGTCTAATTGACGGTCTCTTACTTCCTCGCTGGCTCTCAGTCTCCATCTTTTCCCCAAACAGTCTCTGTACAGTTGGCTTAGCGGTGACCATAGAAATAGCTAAAGGGTTCCATGTGACATTGGTTGAAGTTTGTACAGAAACATTAGTTTTTTTCTTTATGTAAACAGGCACACAGATCTCTAGAGGCTAACTCCTCAGTCCCAAAGAAACAACCCACCTCTACCAGTTAATCGCTCCCTCTTCTTCTTCTTTTGTATTCCGCCGTTTGTTTTAGTTCCTGTCTGCTGATGACTTTATAATTTTCACATGTCGAGTATGTCGGCCCCGTTCTCAGTCCTGCTGAGAGAAATAAGGCCTTGGATTGCTCCTCAGATATCTAGAGGCGAACAGCTACTCAGTATTTAGTTCTCCTCTCCTCCCCCGGCGACCACTGCCAAGGCTTTGTTACAGTTCGCCACCCAAGATAATGTAGCTTAACCAAGGTTGCTGTTGTCCAGGTTGCTGTTTGTGTAGTTTTATGTCGCTGTCTCCAGCATCAGTGTTGGTGGTCGAGCAGAGAAATTCATGCCGTCTCCGAAAGGTCTACGTGGAACGAGCTAACAAATCCTTTTGCGGGCTGAAAAGACAAGAGAACACACTCAATAAGACGAATGGCACCCTCTCCCTCGAGACTCTTTAGTGACACAATCGGCTCGAAATACCATCTCTTGAAGGATACATGCCACAAAGGACTGTGTGTGAAGTTATTTATATACCCTAAAGGCTGGTCCTTGTAGTGTAATGGTGAAACTAATTTGGGAATCGGGTGAAAACATGTCCATCAGTGGAGATAAAGGTTAGAAATTTGGTGGCTACATAATGCATGCGTAGAAAATACACAGAGCACTAATTGCTTCATTAATTATCTATAAATGGATCATTAAATATGTATAAACCCTTTATCAAGGCAACCCTACTGATCAGAGCACTGCCATAGCCAGTAGTAGCACATGCTGCTATTTTTATAAGTAGAACATGATGCCAATTGGTTAATAGAGCTCAGCCTCTGGGACTCTTCTCATCTCCTTTACAGAGTGATGAACAACAGAACCTTTGCCGTGGCAAAGTATATTTCTAAAGAGTGGGAAAAATGGGTGAAATTGTAAATCAAAAAAATAAAGTGAAATATAATATGGTGGAGAGTTTTGGACAGAGGAGTATGGAGTGCATTTATCCCAACCCTTCGAGGCAGACGGGAGGAGCAGACACGCAGGCTGCTATATTTGGAGCGAGCTCGTGCACCTAAAGGCTAAATACAAATTATGTCTCAAACAGACCTGATGTGCAAGAGGAAAAATTACTTGGCTTCGTTTGCTAAGTTGCAAACAAAGAACAAAAAAAAGCAGGTTATAGCGGTCGTCGTTTACCTGAGAGACAGTCGGCATGCAGTATCATGAAGGATGGTGGTTAAGATGGTGGTGACTGGAAATGACTTCTCTACTCAATGTGTGTATTGAATCCATCCTCGACTCTTAGAGCTCATAGAATATTCATGTTACGTGGGAGCTTGGAAAGCATCCTGCCGTCATCTCTAAGGAATCTCATTCTGCTTCTTTAGAATTTCAAGCTGGAAACTACATTACCAATATATATCAAAATCATTCATGTGCCAAATGAAGCTTCCCTTAATATATTGAAATACTTTCCCTCTTCTCTTGCACACAAACTTGTGAGTGTGACTTCTCCAACTGCAGAATCTTGACCTCGGTGTTGACAGCCCACCTCTCCCCCCCATCTTTATGTCGAGTATTGATCCACAAGCAAGCGAGTATAGATACTCGACACTTCCTTTTTAGAACAAAATGGACTTCAATCCTTGTGAAAAAGACGACGCGTGGGTTGTGCGTTTCACCTTTCGAGCTATTCAGTAGGGAAGCCATCGTGCTCGAGCAGAACTCCGATGTTAAGCAAATGGAAAATAAAAGATGTCCTTTCGAACATGAGATGATCTATCCTTCATTTCCTCAGAGCATGTATTAAACCATAAACGGCGTTTAACTGTAGCTGTGTGAAGAGGTAAGGAATATAAACATGAAGTGTGCTTGTGTTGGTGACCTTTACTTATATGAGCATCAGATACAAAAGGCTGACAGGAGAGGATTCTGAGGGGGAATTTAGAGAAAGGCGAAAAAGGGGCAACAGCAGTTTAAAATGTGTCCAATTCAATGTTTGTTTATTTTAATAATTAGTCACATATGTACAGACAGTATTTAGCGTTAGAAAAGGTAAGGTTGAAGTTTTCAGAGTGGGTTTTGGAGAAGTGGAGTTAGCAATAATAGATTACATTTTACATTCGGTGAGATAAATTCAAATTTACAAAGTAAAAACAATACAACAAAACAAAAAGTCATAGTTTTTAAAACTCTTTAAAAAATATAAGAAATAAACGTTGATGAGCAAAATAAAAAGCCCAGATCAGAATCAAAGGGCAGATTGATCGTCCCCTCCTCTAGTCTCTGTACTGGACCAGACCGAAGTCGTAGGGTCCCAGTGAACTTTCATACTGATACTCACAGAGAAAGGTAGCTTTGTACGGCAGGGTCCCCCTATCATACTCTTTCCTCTCTAGCGTGCTGGAGCTGTACTGCTGCTGTTGCTGATGGAGGTGATGGTGAAGGCTGTGGTGTGACTGTGACCTTTGACCCTCCTTGCCAAAGGTGGAGAATGACCTATCGTTGAACGAGGCGGCGGTTGAGGTCATGGTCAGTTGGTCGGAGAGGTTGACGGAGGAAGGTACCTCAGTGTCGGGCAGGGTGGCGTCCATGCCGGGGACGTGTAGGTTGCTGCGGTAGTCCGGCCCCTGGCGCCCGTCAGATGGCACAAAGGATGGCATCCAGCAGCGGTCAGAGTGGCCCAGGGCCTTGCACTCCTCCGTGCAGTTGGAGAACAGGTCAGCTCCTGCAGGACACAAAGGTGGGAATGTGAATGGAAGATTACAGAAATGCAAGAGGGAAAAACGAAGAGGAGGCACAAGAGAAGAGGTGCAGATATTTGGAGTGGATAGGCAAGATGCAGGAGGAGATGAGAGAAAGAAACCAGAAGAGAGAACACAAGTTTGTAATCATTTGCCAATGTCGCAAGCAGAAAAAGTGCAGCAAAAGCTATTCATCAAAGAGACAAGGCCAACATTGATGAAGCGAATTGTTTGTTTTCCTCTTCACCTCATTCATTCCCAATGAAATGTGCAATCACAGTGATGTGGTGAAAACATTTCAGCCTCTCTCCACGTCAACATCTTCAGACTCACGATTGATTCCCAAACACCAAGAGGCAAAATGTGAATCCATATTCCATCATCCTCACGCACAAATAAAACACAATTACCTTAAAAAACCAACAAAACACTCACTGGCTGCTGAATCTTACTCTCATGTCAATCATTCCTACAAATTGACAAAGTGTGTAATTGACATAAAGATACTGCCAAAAACAAAATATCAACATAAAAAAGGTTAAATTAACATCTGAAATGATATAATAGAATAACACACGCAGTCCTGCAAACACATGATCCACATGAAAGACGTACCGGTTATGTTAATGACTTCCTCTTAGAGAGAATAAAGAGAGGAGCGCGGGGACGGGGGAAGAAGAGGACGGGAGCCATTATGAAAGGAACAAGAGACATGAACAGAGTCATCATTATAATGAGTCTCTGCAGCCACTCTCTACTCGCGCGCAGATTGGATTTGTAGTTTTCCCGGTTTTCCAGTTAAGCGCCATGTGGGAAAGCGTTGTTGGCGGAGATCAAAGGAGGAGACGAGCTGTTTAGGGTCATACGAGGAAAGCGATACATCAGCAAACAGGCACAAGAAAAAGAGCGAGAGAAACACAAAAAGCAGACGATCTGTAATTCCCTGAGGCTGAGAAGGCTTCAGATCACAGGGTCCACTTCCACAAATCTATTCTACCGATAACACCACTGCTCCTCTATCACTAACAGCAGCCCTGCGCACACACACACACACACACACACGCACACACACACATATTGTAATGTCAGCATATACATATCAATACTAGGCTAAAGAGTAAGTAGTATTGAAAGTTATAATTACAATAAATCAATACAGCCATCCCAATAAAGTAATATGATGACTTAATATTGTCTGCCACGAAGGCAGTAATAGTCATCGTTGTGATGTTTTGAAGCAAGACACAGGATTCACTAGTTCTATCCAATCATACGCTAACCTCACCAAACGCGTCTTTGTGTTGTGCGTTTTCATTCACCTGCATTTGCTGGGTGCTCATCTCCGACCCTATCTGCCATCACATACGACAGTAAAGAGCTGGGTCTGTTCTTTAAGGCCTTCACACACCAGCGACCTTTCCTCTGTGCGATGAATTTGCACGTGAATAAATTGAACACACATATTAGGCAATAAAAAAGGCGCTAGGGCAACTTTCCTGAGTTTTCAAAATGCTAATAAAGGCATCAATTAATGACATTATGTGGACGTATTCAGTAAAAAAACAACACAGAAGCTCTGCGAGTCGAACCACGACAGCGAGCTTAATTCCGTTCTTACCTTTCACAATAAAATATAAAAAATAAAATAGCTTACAGTTGCTTCAGAGTGCCCCCCCCCCCAGCTCTGAAACAAAAAATGCAATCTTAAAACTAATTATTGAAGACCACAAATATGCTGAATGTTGTTTTCAACATGTCCGACCACAACATTTGAGAAGACTTTTAAATATAATTCAGCATCAGAACAGCCACCTCTCATAAAAGCAAAGCTTTGAATTGATATCATATGTTGTGTATTATGCCTTCCACATCCATGCACATGTAAATATCATGTACTATTAACAACAGCACTGTCCACACATTGTCTAAGACCTACCACTGCGGCTCTGTTTTGTGTTTGTTTCCATTGTGTGGATGTAATCGTGCTGCTCATTCAGGCCTCACGGGGAGCGAGACAGGCAACAAAGACTGTGCAGTGGCCAGTGGAGACACGAGGCCCACAGACAAGGGACAGCGAGGGCCAAACAGACGGGGGAGTCACAGATTTCACAGACAGAGACAGCAGGCAGCAAGACTGCAAGAAGCATAAGGAAGGAGAGGGAGACCCGGGCAATGGCAGATGGAGAGAGCAATGGCCAGATAGACAGTGGAAGACCTGGACCTCACAGAGGGGCACGGGTGAGGGTTAGATAGAGAAGGTACCTTAAGTATCAGAAATGAAAAGAAATCTCCAATTTAACATTAGCTTTCATGTATTTTTAAGTTGTAGCACCATCACATCTAACTCTCAGGGTCGTGTGGGGCTGCAGGCTGTTCCGGTTTAATAATGACTAAGAAGAAACCTGTGATCACGCTGAGAAGAAAACCAAGAATCATCTGCAGAAGTAGATTTGGACATCTGTAAATGCTCATTGAGATGTTGAGTGGCATTTACCCTCTGATTTATCCCTGAAACTAATGTATGTATCGTCTTTAGATGTTGGGGGCATATAAATCAAAGTGTTTCTGTTAATCCCCACCTCACAGTTAGCCTTCAGCCTTTTAATGGACTTCTGGCTAATTAAATTCCTCCTCGGACACATGAGGGTGTAGACCTCACGCCCTCGATCATCTCTGTGCTGTTACCGGTGAGGCGGTTTGTCGCCACAATGCTTCTAAATGTACAAACAAATCATCTGAAAGACTGAAGCACAGGTGCAAAACCAAGCGCACACGCAGCTATGCAGGAAGCAAATATGCATACTAATAAAGATAGAGTAAACGTGGAAGGATTAAGAGAAAGAGCTGTTTGTTCCATACTCCTTATATCTCAGTATATTAATCAGCAGGCACAGGGGCATATTGTACTCTGGAGATGCTGTATAAATATAGTCTGCAGCATTCACCTTTCACCGTAAATCAGGCTCGGAGAAGCTCTTGTCACTGGCTTCCAAACTACTCGGTGATTTTTGCCTGCCGGCTCACTCTTAAAAAACAGCGACATCAACACATATGTTTGCAAACACACACTTAAAAATACTCTCTTAACACCAAGATATGTAAATGTGGCAAGTAAACAGACAGACAGGCCGTGTGCACATGACACCCAGTGGCTGTTGATTCCCGTGAAGCACCTTTCTCTTCCTCGGGCAGAAAGCAAAAACAACAACCAAAACAGTGACTGGCAATGACAGGCCCTGCCAGCAGCCCCATCTCTCATCGTGACCTCATCAGACAGGAAGAACACACACACACGCACACACACGCACGCACGCACACACGCACGCACGCACGCACGCACGCACGCACACACACACACACACACACACACACACACACACACAGGGAGACGTAAACGGCGCTACACAATGCAAACAATCTCCTTGCTAATAAGCAATCAGTACTTCTGTTCGTTTTTTCCCATTACATCTCAGAGTGTTTCCGAAATCCCACATCGTTGTGATTTGACTAATTGCGTTGCCTGACATACATCCAGCAACTGGGAGTGGAGGCAATGAGGGAAACAAATCCAGAGAAAACAAGAGTCCCGTGTTTGAATTGACTCTGTGGGTATATATCTCCCTGCACTCATCCGTCCGTCTGTCTCCGTCTCTATTAGTCCCTCTGTGTCTATTTCCCGTCTCTTTATTTTCACACTTTTAATCCTCTCTTTATCTCTTTTTCTCTCTCTAAAAAGAAAGAAAGAAAGAACGATTCACAAAGCCATCCTCGTCCCCCAGGTAGAGGGTGTCTTCAATCCCTGCCTCTGTTTTTCATCTTGTCCTCCACTGTTCCGGAGAGAATACAGACACAAAATGTCAATATTTGGACAGCAGCTCGGGACGGCAGGGGAGTACCACAGCTTCCTCAGGCTGGCCAGTGAGGCTGTGATGAGTAAACCAGAGACCTCCCAGGGCCCAAACAGAGAAAGATGGCTCCCACCATATCCAGTAATGACAGACAGAGAAAGAGTCTTTGAGAGGCAGCTACCATCTTCCATGTTTTTTAAACTGTGACTGAGCTGGCAAGGAAAGCCAAGATGGCCGTTTGGCCTGATTTGGCCTGATGACTCTTTGATTAATAATGCCCCTATAGTTCGATCCCTTTCATTACTTAGTCCTGACCCGACTTTGTCTTAGACATTCACTGAGACTTTACTTTTAAAGGATAATTCTGGTTTACAACAACCGTAGTATAATTTTCTGAGTTCTGGTCATCATTCCTATCTTTTCTTATACGATTGTGAGCACGGTGAACTACGTCAGACGGGGCAAGAAATGAGAGTCAGACCGGTTAATGGAGCTAACGCGTTGATCAGATTAACGAAACCATATCGTTGACTTTGTTACAGACAGGCCAGTGCTGTTAACCACCAAAATACAGGTCAGGATCATTTAGTAAGCTATATTAGAGCACTGTATGTTAGACCACATCTCTTCCAAATAAACTCTACACTTTATGTGTTTACTGGTGTTAGCTTATAGTTGCAACAGGAGCAGCGCACACAGATCAAACAGATCATTTTCCGCGGACAGGGTCGTGAACCGGTGATCTAAATCACTTTCTTTCTAAGTAAAACTAAAAGTGAGTACAGCCAGAATGTTGAGGACTATTCCTCACTTTGTAGGGAAACTGCAGTGGTGCGCTGCTGTTTTCTCTTCCAAATACATGTTTGCTAATGTGGGTCTTTGGTTAAAACTTGTGCCAGTTTGACTACTTGTGTCTCTTGCCCGGTCATACTTCTTTGTAGCCACATGACTGCATGCTAACATCTCAGCACAATGTTAAAAGTAAAAGGAATTTACCACCAATCCACATATTTATGTGACGCAAATGTGCACAAAAGTGATTCTGTTTCAGGTTGCGTTTCCCTTTAGAAGGCAGAGTAATTAAAGCTACGGGTCACACCTGAGTTTAATCTGAGCATCATCAACAGATATCTTGACATTGTGTTTTTCTGTAGGAATGTTAGCGTCGCAGCATCGATGGAGCAGATGTTGACTGATGGCTGAATCTCTGAGCAGAAAGGATATGTGTATAACTCATGGCCAAAGAGCAGATTCATGAGTCCCATGACTCATGCTTACAGATCTCTGCTTACAGCCTAAACTAACCTAGATATCCACGGCCCCTGTCTTACACAAGAAGAATGCATCTTTTTCACTTTTTGATCTTAAGTTTTTCACCTGATTTGAGTCCTGTGCCAGAAGGCCTGTGCCCTCTTTTCATCCATTTCATTGGTGGGAACACTCTGTGCTGTTCAGCTCATTCAGAAAGCACAGCCGTTTCATACCCAGCACACATTCATCAAGACACTCAGCAAGATGTTTGAGTGTACCGGTGATCATCACATTACGAGCTCTGATTGTGGGTCTGATTCATTTCCACACATCCTCTCAGTGATTCTGGAATCCACTCCTCCACACATCTGTATCATGTTATGAAGAGGCCAGATAAGGAAGGCATGTTGCAGGAAGTAGACGAGTCAATCAGTTAATCACATCGATTAATCTGGTCTTTTCTTTGCTATGACTTTTATTGATATTCAACAAGAGACTCAGCTTAGAAGAAGTCATGACATCTCCACCTGTTACACGCTAAATTCAAATTGATTGTTTTAATGAGGCAATGTTTTTATCCTATTTGCTGCGATAGATTTTTACTTTTTCATTTTACATTGAAATACGTGTGTAACTTTCTGCTGGTGGGGTTTTGAACACTTGAGTGTGCACATACAGTATACTGCACTTTCTGTTTACAGGTTTTACATGTTCTAGTCTCCTTGCTCCTTATTGGATGCTTTAAGTTGAGAGGAACATATGAACAAAAGTAGCATGTCCTGTGCTTGTTAACATACAGTACATCTGGGTATCTGGAGTGACTGCCAATCCACAAACTGGGAATCAAGACAACCCAGTAAGTCAACAAGCCATTCAGATACAGCCACCCATCTGATTATGTTCACCCAAGAGAACCATCTTTGCAAAGGTGCACCGTATTAGACAATAAGAGCTTAAAGCACAGGCGCTAAAACTGTGTTTGAGAAAGAGGGAGAATAGAGTTATATATATTCAGACAGACAGGCATGTAAACATGTTTTATGTTTAATGGATGTCACTTTCAGCTCAGTAATGCATGTTTAACTATTTTAACAGGCAAAATAATTGATCCAGAAATGTAAAATGAATAATGATAATAATAGCTCCTAATGTGCCTCTTTACAACAGAACTCAATATCTTCTCCTACATTAAAGGTGTTCTGCTCGTTGACCTCTTTGAGCTTTTCTTTTGTCACTATTTAAGCAACATTGTTGTATTTTTAAGCATTCAGCCTTTTTTCAATGTATTACGGTTGATAGTGAGCAAGGTCTCTTTATTTCTCTTTTCATCGAGAGCTTTCGATATAAACCTGACGTTTTTCTTTTTTTGGTCTCGTGGATCTTAGACGGAGGGATCACGGCTTCCAGTGCTGTCAGTATCTGGGGCCTGAGAGGAGGGTGTTTCACAACCCTGTGTGCTAAATTCATCTGACAGCTCCCTGACATGGGAAACTGCAACACGGTGCCCGCCACTAATTCATAATCAGCCATCTAATACACCGTTGCCACAGTGATTTAATTGTTCCATTTGTCACGGCTGTTGTTCTCACCAAAACAAACGTCATGATAATCATCGTTTCCAGTCTCCCACCCGTCACGCAGCCTTCCACAGCTGATTGAACGTTTCTGAGATGCCAATTTTTTTTTTCTGATGAATATTTAATCCTCTCTTATCTGTCGCCTTTTTTTTTGTTTTTCTTGCTCACGCTTGCCGCTATCTTCTACTAAGATAATGAGGGAAATAATGAGGGGAAATGGTGCCTAATTTGAATCAAGCAACCTAAAAAAAGGGAGTGTGGGGGTGTGGTTGTCAATCAATAGCGCGTTGGCTCCTGGCGCAGCGGTGCCTCACTCCAGGCACGTTTCAGAAAAGCCATTTGCCCACTTTTTAAAGGCATCCGGTGATATCCCAGCCTCACAGTGTCCCTTTGATTTAAAACCACGTCAGGAGACTTATTTGCTAAAGTGTCAGACAAGCGGCCGAGCGGGAAGCTACGGCAGGTGTAGTTGATGATATGCCAACTGGAAATGGTTTTTCCTTGATTTGAAATATTCTGAGGTGCACCAAAAGGGAGAGCGTGGCTGCGCGGTCCCGTGAGGGAACCTTGCCTCTAACCCTCCTTTGATAATTGCTATGCAAAGGTTCTAGAAATGAATTACTGATCAGCCGAGTGTTGCGGAGAGCCAGCGTGTTTGGGAGACAGAATGAAGGATGAGACCCTGCCACAAATCCCTGGAAGAGAATGTGTGTGTGTGTGTCAAACACACAGAATGCGGGAATGGCTGTCGGATCATGCCAAACATATGTGTGTGTGTGTGTGCGCATATGGATTTGCTTGCTTAAGCACACATCGCTACAAAAGTGCATAACAAATGCACGTGGTCTATACATAGTCTTGGCTCAGGCGGATTCCTTTTTGCTCTCTACCGTCTTTATGCTAGAGTGAAGAACATGCACTCAGCATTGAAGTCCTATAAGCGTCCCAACAGACCATAGCATACACCGATAACACAACCAATAACAGTCCCATCCCTATATAATGGAAGTTTCACATATACATAGAGAGAAATGAGCAATGGGCATGCCTATACAGCGGCAATATACACCTGGCATAGTGCCATTAGCTACCACTCTTAAACTGGATCTCATTCAAGCCCTCCAGAGCACCACCTCAAAGGAAAACTCCTTTTCAATATAGATATCATCCCCTCGCCTCGTTTCTCCTCCGCAAAACACACAAGCGGATTACATACAGGTATCATGTATCCGCCTACATATTAAATCATACAATGGTATACCTTCACACACACACACACACACACACACACACACACACACACACACTCTCTCCATCTGGTTTGGTTGTTTACCGAAGTCTGTGAAACCCAAGTGTCCCTCTTTCCAAATACCAGTCGTGTGATATTACCTCCCATGGAGTGGTAAGCTGTTCCCTTCTAAATTCAACATGAGGAACAAATGTTGGTTTCCTCGTAGAGAGTACAGAGCACAGAACCAACTACACTCCCAGGCCAGTGCCAAATGAGCATGCTCGGAGCCAGATAAAGCTGAGGAAACATGTTATTTGTTCATAAATGTGGTCCTTTAACTGTGCAAGCAAACCAGCAAGAGGGAATTCAAGGCATTGCATTTTAAAATACAGTCGCCGGCCAGAACATCTTGTCATCATGTATGTTTAACATACTATTTACTTATTAAAACCTTGTATTCTTGACAAATAAAGGGATGAGCCTTTGGACATCTTCCAGGTGTGCATTTCAGTCTTGCACAGATACACCTCCCCAGCCTGTTTGTTCTGCGGGGGCAGGCAGTGACACTGCCACTGCTGCATATTGGCTCTCTTTTTTGGCTCCGTTTATTAATAATACCAAACACTGTGGAGCCTGATGAGGACCATTCACTATCCTACAACACCCATCTAATCTGCTCTATTTGTATTCCCTGCACTGATATGATATTTGGCAGGCTCCGGTCTAGACAGGGGTCTTACATGAGCCGTGTGGAACAATCCCTCAGAAGGAAAGGGCAATTCAATATGAAATGAGATTTTGTGTTGCTCCACATTTTGTCTGACTCCACTTTGATCAATAAACAGGTACTAGCCTAATAGAATTTTAGAGAGAACAAGGCGAGGCTTAAGATAAAAAGTAAAGTCTTGTCTAAAAAAACTACTGCACTGTAAAATGTAGAAGACAGTCAGTAAATATACCTGAAGTGAAGAGAAGATTTTCCCTAATTCCAACGTTTTCTGTTTGCCTTAACTTATGCCAAAGCTTTGAAACATTTGGCCGACAAATCCAAGAGATCCAAAGCTGCTAACGTCCTTGATCAGCTGAAACTATAACCAACAAAGGCAGTACAACAGACCAACTGCGAGGCTGATTGAAATGCATCTCATTACATCAATTTAGCTCCCATGCCTTTTCCTCGCACTTGAGTGAACCTATTGATTTGAGTCACTAAAGCACTATAGACCTTAAACTGCCTCTGCGGTGAGTCGCTGTTCTTTCAGCACCACTTGGCGTTCGAAAGAGAGAAGGAGAACAGTGAGAGGGAGAGAGAGAAAAGAAATTTCCCCAAATATTCTTCCCTTTCACCCGGGTGTGAAATACAATCAACACCTCAGGGGCCTGCTCATGCCAGCCAGCCAGCAACACCGGAGCCCGGGCCTTTGCACACTCTCAAATTAAGGAAATTAAAAGTCACCGGTCCGCACCAACAATTCAGCATTATCACATTCACATTCGCAAACACTCACTGTGGAAGAAGCGGAGGGGAGGGGAGGGGAGGGTGTGTGAGCCCTGAAATGACAGTATAATTACGTGATGTGTGTGTGTGTGTGTGTTGGAATGGGGACCTACCGGCCGAATGACCCCGGTTGGTGGCATCGTGGTCACTGTCGCCTTGTTCGCTGTCACCGTGACCGCTGTCTTTGGAGCTGACGATGTCTGCCTCTTGGAATGCCGAACTGTAAGAGGCAGGGGAGGTGAGAGTGCAGACAGTCAGAGGAAAGAGACGGAGAGGTATGAAAAGAATGGAGGGGTCAGAGAGAGAGGTCGAGATACAATATTGAGAAAGGGAAGACGGAGAGGAGACGGGGGATTAGATGAGGGGGCAGAGAAAAGGAGAGAGGGAGAATCAGACATCAACACCGCGTTAATACAGTCACGGTGCCCGGCAAGAGGCTAAATTGGATGTTACACATAGCATGTAATGAAATCCAGCATTAGAGCTGTAATAGGCAATGCTATGTCAGTTATGGGAGTGATGCCAAATTGAAGATGAACGTTATGGATACGTTGGGAACCATGTAGCCTCTCAAAGCCACAATTATCGATGCAGAATATACGAGGCTCACACGGATGGATGTAATATTCAATTTTATAGATATGTGAATAACCTTGGTGCCATGAGTCCTATTGAATGTTACAGGTCCTCTGGTGGTGGCTGGTGTCTGCCTCACTAGGCTTTGCACATTGGTAATTATATGGTGTGTGTGTGTGTGTGTGTGTGTGTGTGTGTGTGTGTGTGTGTGTGCTTTTCAATACCTGTTGACACGTCTTGGTCTGTCCACCAGATAGCTGAGTTCTGCTCGTTGGTGTTTTGTCTAGAAAACCCAGAGAAACATATTTGATCACGTCTAATGCCAAGTAGGCACATTAATAAATACACAAGGAGGTTCACGCTAGATAAGAGGAACATAACGGCCAACATTCATTGGTTGTCAACATGTAACCGCAGCAGAAGAAGCTAAGGGCAGCGCAAGGTGGGGGGAACCGACAGTGCGCGCATCCACTAGGTGAGTGAGTGGGCGAGAGGAGACGAGAGTAGTGTGTTAGGGAGGCGATTGAATGCGTAAATGATTGAGCTGCGCGATGCTGAAACTGAACAACCTTTGTTCACGGTGCTGCTGTGCCGGGTCGTGCACGGAATACTTAACGCACAGGAAAGACAAGGCTGTGACTGGCTGTCTGGCTCCACTCCAGCCACACCGCAATCAACAGAAAGCCCCGAACTCCACAGCTCCCCGCGCAGAACGCACAGGCTGAACACAAAACAGGCCCGTTACGTTACTCGCCTCGTCCCTTCTCCTAGTAAGGTTTTCCACCGAAACTTTATAATCTATAATAAGGATACATCAACTAAATGTTGCTGTGCTTAAGAAGGCTGCTGGTGTAACCAAACAGTAAATATTTCACACAGAAATGCTCTCTTGGTGGGATTTTCCACTAAGTTTCTGACACACTTAAGCATTTGGTGTGTTTCCCCTTCACTAAATGTATAATTTGGACTATAAGAGCCCCACCATTCCTTTGGGGTAACCCAAATATGCAAAGGCTGCTGATTGCTCTTTTTGAATTCATTTTTCAACAAGAACTGCATAGCTTAATATATCAGTTAGATCAAAACTGCACCAAACAAAGAATAAAGACAATTTAAAAAGAGCTTTTTCCAACTTCGTGGTTTGACTGGAAAATGTATTTTATGCCCAAAATCATTTTGTCTCTCAATGCCTATTTGCACACGATGTAAAGGTTGATCTGATAGCAGTCTATTGCGAATAAAACTAAAAGGCCACATGAGATTCAACAATTGACATGTCCAATCACCATTACGCCTGACAATGATTAAAGACCACTGAGCAGAACAGCCAAGTCAATAGCCGATACCACTTCCATCCTCTCGGGGACTTTTGTTGCGCGTGACCTGAGTGAATAACACACGTCGACATGAAGCAGACACAGCTGTATTTCTGGGGGATCTTTAAAATTAGGTTAACCCTTCAAATCGCGGTTTTGTGCACTTTTAATACATCTGAAGCGGAGCCGTGGGCGATAGCAGCTGATTCGGGCTTTTCTTACCTCGTTAGAGAGAATACTGCCATTGGATATGATGTCCGGTTGTTGGTCACTGTAACCCGTGACTATGGCGCCGCAGGGGTTGGTGTGATCCGTGTCAGTGCTGCGGGAGGGGCTGCACGGTTTTAGGAACATCAGATCCGTTTTGGCGGACTCCGGTGTCAGACACACCTGGTAGCAGTAGGAGTTCTGGTTCTGGTGATGGTGGGAGCCGAAGCCCCCCCCCACGCCGCCCACACCAGACTCCTCCACGGGCACCTGCCCCACGGGCCCGACCCCTGACGTCACGTTGGTGCTCTGAACTAACATGATGTCAGATTTACTCAGCTTCTTCTGTTTCCGTCCTCGAGCGTGCCTACTACAGCACGAGCCGCAGCACAAGCAGCACTCACCGGCCAGCAGGCAAGTGTACAGGTTGAGCTTCTTGTCCTTTTGGCAGCGCACGGCCAGCACGATCATAGCCAGGAGGAAGATGAAAGACACGGAGCCCAAGGCGATGATGAGAATTAGGGTGAGGTCAAGGGAGGTCTCCTTTGCCTTGGAGGCAGAGCCTCGATCCCCACTGCGGCCTTCGACCACGCTGTCCACTAGCATTACACTCACACTCGCGGAGGAGGAGAGAGGGGGCTGCCCGTGGTCCCTGACTTCGATCAGCAGGTCGTAGAAGCCCTGCGGATCCCGCTTGGGAGAGATCCTGCGGGCTGTCCTCAGCTCCCCTGTCCTCCAGTCCATGCGGAACATCCCCATCTCGTTGCCCCGCAGGATGCTGTAGGACAGCCGTGCGTTCTCGCCATCATCCGCATCCATAGCCACAATGCGCGTGACCAAGTAGCCGGGCTCTGCGGAGCGCGGCAGGTGCTCTTTGGCTGTGCCGTTTTTACCGATGGGGGCTATAACAGAGGGAGCGTTGTCATTTTGGTCAACTATGATCACACTTACAGTGGTATTGGAGAAGAGCTCCGCAGCACCAGAGTCTTTCGCTTGGACCATGAAGCTAAACTCCTTCAGCTGCTCGTAATCAAAAGAGCGCAGCGCGTAAAGGTAGCCGGTGTCCTGGTTTATGGACACATACGTGTCCACAGACATGCCCTGTATGTCACACTCCAATATGGAGTAAGTAATAAGAGCGTTTTGTCCTACATCGGGGTCCAGGGCGCTCACGGCGTGAATGAAAGCACCGGGCACATTATTCTCAGTCACATACACATCATAAACAGCCTGCGTAAAACGGGGCGCATTGTCATTCTCATCGGAGACGTGCACTTTAATAGACTTGCTGGTGGCGAGCGACGGCTGACCCTTATCTTTGGCCTCCACGGTGATTGTGTAGGAATCTGTGTTCTCTCTGTCCAGCGGCCCGTCCGTCACAATAGTGTAGTAGTTTTTAAAAGACGATTTCAGCTTGAAAGGAACGTCTCCCAGTATCTCGCAGCTCATGTGTCCATTCTCACCAGAGTCCCGGTCTGAGACGCTAAAAAGTGCGATCACGGTGCCCGGGGCGTCCTGCTCGCTCACGGATTCAGTCACAGTGCTGAACCCGATCTCTGGTGTGTTGTCGTTCACGTCCACGAGTTTGACCAGCACTTTGCAGTGCGCGGGGACCGCATTAGCCCCCAAATCCTTAGCCTGGACATAAATCTGATGCGTGTTGCTCTCCTCAAAGTCCACCTCACCCGCCACCTCTATCCTTCCTGTTCTCGCGTCAATGTTGAATAAGTCCTTTATCCGCGGGGCGTTGTGACTGCTGAAAGAATAAACGATTTCCCCGTTTTGTCCCTCGTCAACATCCGTGGCGTTGAGCTGAATGATCAGAGTGCCCACCGGAGAGTTTTCCCGCAGGTTAACGGAGTACACAGACTGGTCAAAGGTGGGCGCGTTATCATTAGAGTCCAGAACTCTGACCACCAGGAGAGCCGTCCCGGTCCGCTGCGGGATGCCGCCATCCACAGCAGTCAGCACATAGCGGTGCACCGCCTGCTGCTCCCTGTCCAGCGGCTTCTCCAGCACCAGCTCCGCGAACTTATTCCCGTCGCTCTGCGTCTGCACGTCAAGGTAAAAATAGTTATTATTCGTTATGGCGTATGTGCTGAGCGCGTTTGTGCCCACGTCAGGGTCAAAGGCATTCTCCACTGGGAAACGGGTCCCGGGGACGGCGCTCTCCGATATCTCCACGGAAATGTCCGTCTCGGGAAAGCTGGGCGGATTGTCGTTGATATCCATCACCTCAATCTCCACGCGAAAGAGCTCCAGTGGGTTCTCCAGAAACACCTCCAGGTGCAATAGGCACGGGATGGTCTGCTTACAGATTTCTTCTCGGTCAATTTTCTCCTTCACCACGAGTGCACCGTTCTCTAAGTTCACCTCCAGATAAGGTGTCCGTGAACTAGGCACCGTTTGAAAGCGGCGAGCGGAAAGTTTGGTAATGTCCAGCCCCAAATCCTCTGCAATATTCCCAACCACAGAGCCAGGTTCCTGCTCCTCTGGCACGGAGTAGTGTAGCTGAGAGACCGCTCCATGCAGGATGGAGAGCAGGATTATTAACCAAATCATCTCCTCTCCCTCTCTCAAAGTGCACTTCAAGACGATTAAAAAAAGTGTTATTCCCTTTTCTTACAAGAAATGAGCATTTCCCATTTTCTCTGTCCGTAAAAAAGCAATGAAATAAACGGTAACAAAGCTGTCCGCTTGTGAAATTCCTCGCCTCTGCCTCGGGTCAGTGGAACATTGTGTCGTTTCAGCTGTGAGAAGCACAGCCATTTGATCCGAGCTTCCCTGTTTTAATCAATTCTGCACCGGTCTGTGAGTTTTTGGCGTCGGCGCAAACATTGCAGGCTGGCGCCAGGACGCAAAGCCAACACTCCCTGTGCACAGAACAGACTGCCCGTTCTTCACACAAAGTCACAGAACAACAGAGGAAATTCCACATGAGTAGAAAAAAAGAAGACAGCAAAAAGTCCTATTCACGCTCCGACGGAATCTATAACAAATGCAACTTCTAAACGAGCACTGGCGAATAACAGGACTTTCTCTCTATCTCGCTCTGAGAGGATGTAATCACTGCGCCTAAGCGCTCAAAGCGGATGATGTTCGCAGCTCGGCTTCTGTAAGGCGAGTGTGAGCAGCGGGGTTGGTTTTGCGCACAGCTCCTTTCCCCACCAGCCAATGGTATTCTCAAACACCGGGTGTAATGGCACCTGATTGGGGCTCTGCGACGCCAGCCAGAGAGCACACAATCGGGCCCTCATAACAAAACCAGTTAAGTGCGCTGCGCTCCTCCCGTTCTCTCCTCTCTCCTCCAGGCCCAGCCTCAGTTGTAGCAGCAACATTAAATGTTTTACACATCTAGCGAATTAAGAAAGTCGAATGGACAGTGGGTGACAGTTGGCATCGGCGGGGCTCTGTGCAGATAATATTACAGCTGCCAGGGAGTGCTGGTATTTCTGAAATATTGAAATAATATTGAATATTGAATGTTGTTAATTGGAAAAAAACAAAACTGCCAAACGTCATTATGATAATATTTTTTCTTTCTTTCTTTTCAGTGTGACAAATTGCTCTCAATATTCAATACAAATATCGACCCTCACAAGGTTGCTCTTGACGCAACTATTTAAACAGTTTGGTATCCGCTCTGATATTAATGCATGAGCCAGAATGTAGCAAAGATGCCCACAGCCGAAGACCACCATGTAAAGAGCTGCAAGGAAAGATAGCTAGTGACGCAATACCCCGCCGTGCCATGGCCTCTCTCTCTCTCTCTCTCTCTCTCTCTCTCTC